ATGTCTGCTTTTTTTATGTATGCATAACTTTAGACCACGTGAACCGATTTCAACAATTTTTTTTTTTCGGAAAGATGGTACCTCAATGGTCGTCCAGTTATCTTCGATCATTGGATCATGAAAAAATTAACGGTAAGTACTCCTAAATTTGTATATGAGAATTGAAGTCGGTTGTGTTTTTTGCTTAAAAATGACTTGTTCTGCAAACACAAGATGCGCTCAACTTTCAAAAGTAATAAAAAATGTTTAAAAGAGTTTTAATGCTCATTTTCCTCGATTTCTGGTTTCTGATTTTCAATGGAGATGATTTTTCATGATTGCCTAATTTTTTTCATATTTCGAGTACCGAATTCGAAGTTAGCAAAATAAAATCTTCGAATCCGCTTGTTAAGTACATATCTGTGGTAAACTCTTTTAGGCTGTAAAGTGTAAAAAAAGTAAGTGAGAATGCTTTGCATATTTTTAGGACAATGTTTTCATTAGCAGTCAAACTTTTAAGATATCTCAAGAAAAACGAAAAATTCATATAAAATGACTGCACGAGTTGTGATTTTTACTTTTTTTTTAGTATATATAACGCAAGTTTTCATTTAAATAAAAGTTCTTTATGCAAAACTGAATATAATGCATTATCTAAGATAATGTGCCACCAATTTCGACCAAAAACACGTTCTTATCGAACAATGTAACAACTCGTGAGATTTGCTCATATCGTTAGTATGCTATGGAAAGGGCGTAACTTACATAGTCGCTGACGGGTTGTAAGGGCATTGAAATTGCGGTTAATTAGCCGTATATTCGGTGATAAAATAGATTTTGGGCAATTTTTTGTTTTCAAGATAGTTGCAAAAAACCAAAGCATTCGCACGGAAGAATTCAATGGGAATAATTTTAGAATGTCGTTTTTTTTACGCACTATCTAGTGTAAACCACATTTCACCGGCTGACGTTTTCGTAAGCAAAAACTTGCGCGAAACCAGCAAAAGAGAGGAGAACTCGAGAGCGAACTCTTATTGAACTTGTAAATTTTTATTCTGAATTTTACTTCATTTCTACTGGATTAGGTTTTACTAGTAACTATTTGTCAGTAAGAAAACCAGCTGGTGGCACCATGCTTAGTGCAGTTCACACTAACAGAAAAATTCTTTGTGGGACTTTTGTAGTTAACATTTACAAGTTAAACCTATTTTAATATATATCTTGTTAGTTTCTCTCATTGGGAGCAAATGTTGACTTACTGTCATAAATTTGGTTACTGGCAAATTCTGGATAGTTCTTAACTGGGGAGTACAAAAACACGACTAATGTCTCTTAAAAATTGTTCTGATTTTACCCAAAGATTAATACTAATTATTAAAATCTTAGTCACTGTCGCATGAAAATTTGTTCCTATCATGCATAGTAAAAACTTGCAGTAATTTGTAATTGCCTTGTTCCTTGTGCATTTTTTTACTCTTTGTACCCTTAGAGATCAAAAGACAATGTTTATCTGCCCTTCAAACACAATCTTTCAGAACAAAATTTATGTTTAAACGGCAGATAAATTTTAAAGTAAGTTGCTAAAAAAAATTTAATTTCATTAACTTTTAATATTGTCTGTGGTGGACCTTCTGGTGGAAATGCCTATATTCGGACTATCTTTATTGGTCAAAATCCAACCCGGATACAACTAGCATAGAAGGCATTAGCGCACACAAGGGGTGGGTTTTGGTGTTATAACTTCCTCCCCGCCCCTCCTCCCGCCCCTTAAAGCTAATAATCCCAAATACAAACTGTATCTTAAAGCTATAATTCAGCTCTCAGGAAAAATCTCAAGAAATACTTGTTTTATTTCTGTTGCTTGAAAAAGCACTTTGCTTTTGCTGTAAATTTACTTGAAGATATATGTAAATATACAAGCACTTTTTTCTTGAGATCTGCAAACTGATTTAAGAAATTTTGATTAAGGAAAATTTCTTTTACATTTCTTGTGCGTCATTTTATATGCGTCTTTCGTTTTTCTTGAGAGCTATTAAAAGTTTAAATGCGAATGAAAACATTGTCCTAAAAATAAGCAATGCATAATCACCTACTGTTGTTTTTTACGCTTTACAGCCAAAAAGAGTTTACCAAAATGAGCTATGTACATGCATAATGAAAATACAAGTTCAGTTAATTTTTTCGGTATTCGAAATATTAAAAATATTAGGCAATCGTGAAAAATCACCAAATCCATCGAAAGCCAGCACCAGGATTCCAGCATTTGCTATCACTAATTTTGATCACTAAAAATCTCCAAAAGAATAGCAGGTACGCCTAAAAACACGCAACATATAGTTACATGCCCCTCATACCACCAAATTTGGTTGATTACACGTTACAGTTATTACTTTTCCATTCAGTATACATTTAGGCCCACTGCTTTTCATTAAGAGAATTCTGGCGACAAAAATTTTGCGTAGCGATTGTCAGATTTCCAGAAATCGGGGAAAATTAACATTAACAGGCAGTTTCACCAGATTCATTTAAGTGGAAATTAACTTTAATTTAATTTTTTATTTAATTCTCATTTAAATTATTTTCAGTTTCAATAAGCTATTTATTTAAGCGAGCAAAAAGTGGTTGTAAAACAGACTAGGCCAGCGAACGCTTTCATTTGTACTGAGAGCTTTTGAAAGCTTTGGCACACTTTGTTGTAAAAGCAGGGCTGGTATACAAGTAAGCAGCAGAAACACAATGATCAGGTGATTAAACGTGTAACACCTCTGTGTGTGATTTTGATTTAATTTTTATTTAAGTGAAGAGCATAGGTCACTTAAATCAAACTTAAAAACAAATTAAAATGGATTGGTGAAACCAAAAATTCGAAAATCAAACTTAAATGAATCTGGTGAAACTGGCTGTAAAACTTATTTTTTTTTTATTATTGTTGTTTCCGACAGGGTGGGTGTATGATGTATTTTGGAACAAATTTCCGTCATCCCTTGTCAAATTTGAGATGACGGAAATTCGTTCCAATATACATCAAACATTAAAACTGTTTCTTAACATTTTGTATTACTTTGATAGTTGAGCGCATCTTGTGTTTATAGAACTTTTTATTAAACAAGTAATTTTTAAGCAAAATTCACAACGTCTTCAATTCTCATGTACAAACTTAGGAATACCGTTAATATTATCATGATCCAATGATCGAATCTAAACCAAATTACGGGACGACCCTTGAGGTACCATCTTTCCGATAAAAAAAAAAAGAATTGTTGAAATCGGTTCACGTGGTCCAAAGTTATGCGGTAGCATACATAAAAAAAGAAAATATATTCCGACGAATTGATAACCTCCTCCTGTTTTGAAGTCGGTTAAAAATGTTTGAGTTCTTTGTTAATTTTATGTAAATAAAGTGCAATTTATAAAACTTTAAAAAGTTTATTTATTTATTACATACTGTACATAAAACTTGCATAAATGTATTTTAAATAGCACATTATCTGAAGCGAATTTTCAGAAGTATAAACCCGTTAACCGATTTCTATAGTTCTTTTTTTTTTAAGGAAAGGTGTTACCTCACAGGTGGGTCCATACCAATTCGGTTTTAATCTGATCATTGGGTCATGAAGAAATTAACGATAATCTTAAATCTGTATATTAGAATTGCAGTCGGTTTTGTTTTTTGTTTAAAAATTACTTGTAAATAATCAACTTTATGTTTTAGAAACATGTACATTTTGATGAGAACTATCACAAAATATATATATTTATATTGAACTTCGCACTACAACTATTGCACTTAATCTATAGCAGGCCTATCATCAATTCCCTCGGAGATCCCGACGTTGTCACTATCATGAATTCCGTCGTGATCACGAAATTCTCCCGCAAATTCGAATTTCGTGAGAATGGTATCACTGATTTCGAGTTATTTTATTTTGTTTTATTTTATTTTGATTTATTTTATTTTGATTTAGAATTAATAACCATAAACAGACAAAAACCAAAAGCAGCACTAACTACGAATTCGTCGGAATTGCTGATAGCATTTCTCCCGAATTTATGACGGAAGATTTTTTTCACGACGGGAGTTCACTCGGAATCTGTGATAGGCCTGTAAAATACTAGATCTTAAACAATCCCAGACTAGCAGCCCTATTCCCACAACACTGACAAAATTCATCGTTGCCTATTGTAACAATTTATGCGCCTAAAACACAATATCAACATTGTTTCGCCGTTTTTCGCGTACTCAGTAGGTCAGAACAAAAACCATGACAATGGTCACCATTATAGTTTAAAATAAATTTGCGGCATAGTATTAGGCGCAGTAGTAAAGACAATAGTCAGCCGCTGTTGGCGTGGGAATAGGGCCGTAGGTTTTGTTGTGCACTAGTATTCTAATAAATAGAAATATTTTATGTACATATGTATGCATCATATCGGGTAGCTACCTAACCATAACAGCCTTTCTTGTCTAGGCCTTAAAATATCTTTAACGAGATACACTAAATCTCAGGCAGCAGGTGTCACATGGACAAAGAAATACAAAAGAAGGCATGAGTTACTTGAGGAATATGTAGTCGACACAGCGTCGCTTGGCTTGGCACTATAGTAACAGCAGCCTGCAGCTATAACCAAGACCACCGATATACACACACGTATGAATGCAATATGATGGGTGTTGGCGGGCAGGTAAACCATAAAACGTGAAAGGAAAAGCCAAACTAATGACGTTTTCTTTTCTATTGAAAAATGTTGCCTTCTCAGTGCCCTATAGGCATAAATAGTAAGGAGAGGGCAATGAAAAAACGCCATAAAATCAAAAAAAAATATACATTTAACCATTATTTCTTTCTTGATGTGGGCGACTTTGGGTACTGAAAAATCAATTGACTAGTGTATACGCATACACTTTTTATGCATTCTATGCAGTACCTTTTAATGAAAGATGACTTCTTAATGGTGCATGCATATTTATGTACACACCTGGATATTTTGTAGTACATAATAGCTTATTAATATTTACTCACATAGAAAGGTGCTTCAGTAGTTGATTTTTAATCAGCGACACCATCTTCAAGCTATACTAATCGTACTCGTCACACTGGCACTATGAAGATTTCGAGGTGCAATACTTATCACTTTACTGTATCATTGCATTTTATTTAATTTTTTTTCGCACTTTTACTTTATCAACAGCAACAGCTTTAACTGATTAGCACAGCCTTTTTCACTTTTTGCTGCGTTGGAATTTTTCTTTGCTTTTTCTGTACTCCACAATGAAAACTGTGCGATGCACAAAATTTTTCTTTATTACTTCATTTTGACTACGTTGAACACATTTTCAAACACACATAGTACACAACTCGTGGCTGCTGAAATTGTTAACAATTTCTTTTTATAATATTCCTGAGTAATTTTATGATTTTTTTTACAAATCACGACTTTTTAACAACCTTCACCATACAGTTTTTGCAATTTTTTGTATTTATTATCGTACCGAAGCGGATGACAAATGCACCCAGTTTGTCCAATTGGATTTTAGCAAGAGTGCTGTCAAATTCTATCTGACACAAGGGATTTCGGTGGATTATGGATAGTGCTGCCAGGCAGGTGTTGTTTAAGGAGGTAACTACTGTAGAATATGGGTTTGTTTACACCGGACACAAATACGTCATTTATGATAAGAAATTCCGCATTTACAAAAACGTGAATGTACTTGCTCTGGTTATAGAAAGCCATAACGAAATTCGTTTTTTGCATTTGGGGAAAGTAAAAATTCTATCAAAAATATTAATAAGTTACTAAGGGCCGTTTGCACCATGTCTAGTTAACGCTAACTGGAGGTACATCCTTCAGTTAAGCATGTTAACTGCTTTATCGATCACATGTTATATCGTCGGTCCCTACGAAGAGTAGCACATTTCACTATTCGCGTGGAAGACTAGCACATTTCACTATTAGCGTGGAAGACTAGCACATTTCATTATTCGCGTCGAAAAGTAGCACATTTCAGATTTTTGCGTGGAAGAGTAGCACATTTCGTTATTTGCGTGGAAGACTAGTACATTTCAGATTTTTGCGTGGAAGACTAGCACATTTCAGATTTTTGCGTGGAAGAGTAGCACATTTCGTTATTTGCGTGGAAGACTAGCACATTTCAGATTTTTGCGTGGAAGAGTAGCACATTTCGTTATTTGCCTGGAAGACTAGCACATTTCAGATTTTTGTGTGGAAGAGGGATACGCAAGGCAGTTCATATAAGGTTGTAGCAGCCGTTAAAAAAAAAAAGTTACATAAATATGTATGTTTATACTATAATTATTTTTCTTCGGTCATGCTGAAAGTTTAGTGTTGTATATGGAGCCTTTTGGCCGGTTATTACAAGTAAAATAAACGTTTATTTTTCCTCCTACACCTTTCGACATTCGCGTCTTTCTCAGGGAATCTTTATTTATAAATAAATACGAAAAAAACATATACATACAGTATCATATCAAGAACACCCCGTTTCAAAGTGATATTATTTATGTTATGTTTATTTATTTACTTAAAAAACCTTCAATTAAAATAAAGTTAATTCTCTTAAAAAAATCCATATTGGCCCAAGTTTAAAGCCCAGGAGAATACTAAAAAAACTCAACAAATTTTCAACAACGCAAACGCAAATTAAATATTTTCCTTCGAAGAACTGTCCAAATATTTTCATTGGCAAAAAATTAAGATATCACATGTACGGAAAATGACAATAAAAAATAGCAAAAATCAAGTAGACATGGCAGTAAAATACGACTTTATGCAAAGCGAGGAGAAGTTGAACCTAATGAAAAAAAATGTTCAATGGTCAACCATGAAACACTGTGAATTGCCTAAAGCTTACAAGGGAAAAATACCTTAAAAAAAAAGAAAAGTGGATGATATTCAACAAATGATTAGTAAACGGTATATACCGTCTGAATTTCATGATTTTCATAATACAATTAAAGAAATATAGAATAAACGTTTGAATTTTCAATATATATTATGCTTTTCTGATTTACTTTAAACCGGAGACGTGCAGTTTTCGCGGCTTAACAATCTGAAATATGCTACTCTTCCAAGCGAAAATCTGAAATGTGCTAGTCTTCCACGCAAAAATCTGAAATGTGCTAGTCTTCCACGCAAATAACGAAATGTGCTAGTCTTCCACGCAAAAATCTGAAATGTGCTAGTCTTCCACGC